GGCGGCCGCGGCGGTGCCGGGCCGGGCTGCCAGCGCGCACGCGCGGGGCGCCCAGCGGGCCGCGCACACGGGCTCCTGTGACCCGAGACGGGTGGGAGGGGGAGGCAGGTGGCGGCGCTGGCAGCAGGCGCTCGCCGGGGCACCCCCGCGCCGCCGCAGGACCCCCGCCCGTTGCCCCTGGCAACCCGGGAGGCGGCGGGCCCGGTGCGGCCTGCCGGGGCCTGCCATGGCCGCCGCGGTGGTGGTGGTGGGATCCTGCATGACCGACCTGGTCAGGTTAGTGGGGCAGGAGCCCGGCCGGCCGCGCGGAGCGGGGCCTGCCCTCGCCCGCTGCCGCGGGGCAGGCGCAGCGGCCGCGGAGGGAGCGGGGCCGCGGGGGCGGCGGCCGGGGCGGGAGCGCTCGGGCCGCGGCGGGGCCTGCGCCGCGGCGGCCGCTTCGGCTCTGCCCGCTCTGGCAGCGGCGCTTGAGCCGTGCGAGGAGAGGAGGGCGAGTGAAGGGGGAAGTCGCTGTGGGTGCGAAGCGCTGCCCGCGCCGCAAGGGCTAAAGGGGAAGCGCGGTGCTCGGGAGGGACGGGGATCCCCGGTAGGGAGGCGCTCTGCAGTGTCGTTACTGACGGGGTGGCCCCGGTAGGGAGGCGCTCTGCAGTGTCGTTACCTGTAGCCGCGTTTTACCTGGCGATTCGGGAAAGGAGTGAGGGAGATAGGGAAGACACCATACTTCCCCCCCACCCCCATTTTGCACCTGATCCAGAGGTGGAAGTGGGACCTCCCCCGACCACCAAAAAAAGTCTCTCTGTATCCCAAGTCTGACTTCAAGATTATGAAAATTAATGATAAAGTTTTTTTTTTTATGAATGTATTAATTCCCTTTGATTCTTATACACATTTTCCTTTTAGATTTAGGCATCTTGCTTTCATCGTCATTTTTTTCCACATTGCTAAAATTCAGATGCTTTTAAAAACGAAAATGGAGAAGCCTGTGAATGCTCTTTATTCCAGCGGCTTGGGCTCTATAATAAATACTATATATCAAAAGACTTCAAACAACATTGCAAGGATTGGCTGGCAGCGAGGCAAGCACTGACCTAAGCTGCTTGACTTTGTCAGCRCTGGCAAACTTGTAAATCAGTCCCTGATTTGTGCTTTTTAAAACACATCTGTTTTAAAATTATATATGCAGACTTGGTTAAAACAGGATTTCAAATATATATTTGTCTGGAATACATCAGCTTGYCCTGCTGGGAATTCTGCAGTAGAAAAACAAACAGTTTTTCAATCTGAATCAGCAGTCAATTATATCAAAGCCTGTGAGTCAAGAMAGTGTAGAATGCATGGCTAGAAAAATATTCTGTGGAGTAAGTGCAATTTAGGCATAGACATGTATTCCAAAAACAATAAAAATCTTAAATCTTCATAGATCCTGTGTCATAAAGATTCAACGTTTTATGTAATCTGCAAAACACTCCAACAGATATTTAAGAATAGTTGACTTGTAAATCAGGAAGAGCTTGTAGAACTSACATTGGCATATATATATTTATGTATATACACACACACGCACACACACACACATATATATATGAGTGATCAGATGCTTGTGACGTATCTTGAAGTATAAACCGAGGCGCTTCAGTCTCAAGAAGTTCCCTTTACTTTCCCTCTAAAAGATGGAAAAGATCAAAGAAAAAAATCTGTGAGTTTAAATGCTATTGACAGCTTTCTTGATTATTAAAAACAACAACAACATACATATATCCTCATTTTTTTGCTGATAGAAAAGTCATTTGAAGCCCTGTTAAGTGGCCTCACTGTAGCTGGAGATTAAAACATGGGCTGTAGTCACAGATTAAGGGGCTGAAAGCAAGACACCTTTATGCTGAGCTGAGCGGGTTTCTTAAATGGTACAAACACTGTCAGAAGAATGTATCTGACTCTCTGTTATTGGCCTGTACTTCAAGGAATAGTAAAAGGCTTTTTATTAGTGATAAACTAATTTGATTTGAGGGGAAAAGAGTGCACTGCCTCATTCTTTCTGTTCATAACTCAGGACTTTGGGTACTTCATAAACTAGGGAAACTAATGGATTTATATTTAGTTCATAAAAGTCCAATCTCACTGAGAACTCTTCCTAATAACAGTTTACATTTAGCCTGTGATACAAAACCATTGGTTAGACATGTGACAGTCTTGTAAGCTGTAAACTKAGATATCCCTAGATGGGGACCAAAAAAATGACCAGAGCATGATGAGCAAAACTTTCTAAAGGTAGTAAAAATTGCCAAATTAGCATTAGGATAGATGCCAAAAAGGTCCCTATTGACTGTCTCTAGGTCTGGGATTTAGTGGGGGCTGTATATTCTAGGTTTAAAGCTAGGATGCATTTCAGGAGGTACCAAAAATCATAAGAATTCTGTATTCATGCTGTTTACTCTCACTGCTTTTCCTTACTGAAAAATGATCATGTTAAGCCCTGGTCCACCATCCTTTTGGAAGCCATGGAGTAGACGGCATTCCAAGTGAATGACAGGCAAGTTAGGGAAGCCAGGCCAGCTTTTGGGCACGTGTTTGGTTGGCTGCTGCACTAGGCAAGCCTGTCTTGCCTAGAAGATAATCTCACTGGTTGAGGCTGTGCCAGGGCTGCAGAGTGCTATGTTGTAGCCCAAACTGATAGAGCACAATCTTGGCCCTCTGTCTGGAAAACTAGACGCGAAGGGTGGCGAAGTAGTAAGCAAAGGTCTGTGTAGGAAAAGTACTAAAAATCTGAAAGATAAGCTTAAAGCTGCCACTAGACATGTGGTAGCCAGAATCACAGCAGAAAAAACTTTCAATGGTTTTACTCAGCACAGTAAACTAATGGCTTAAAGAAGTATAAATGCTGTGCAAACTAGAACCACTTAATTTGAAATTTGCTATGAAATTTACCCAATGAATAAGAAGGAAAGAGAAGGTGCTACTTTCTCTTGGTGTTGGCGAAGCCTCAAATTCAGAAGAAAGGATCATGTGCCTTTATGTTCTTCTAAAGGGAAGGGGCTTTGCTTTAAAGATATTATTCTTATTGGAAATGCTTCTCTTATTGTCCTGTAGCGCTGCAGTGGCAGAATGTGGGTTTTCCAAAGAGAATTTAGTATAATCAAAACAACCTCACGTACATACATGCAGCAAACCACACTCTTTTGGCTTAATAGGACCAGGAACAAAACATATTTGTGGTCACAATCATAATCAACACTTCATTGGCAATAGCAAGCAATAGTAGTAGAAAACAAAAACAGCATTATTCTGTATGATCTAGATATCAAACCAGACGGGTACCATCCATAGTATTATTTAAATAGTTTCTGCTCTGACTCACATTTGCAGACTGGTTGTGGCAGTGGCGTTTAATTCATATTAAATCAGGACAAGACTAAACATATAAACCAATAAGAGTCAGACACACTAAAACAATTAGAATAAACAAGAGAAACTCTAGCGTGGCAATWGAAAGCAGCAAAAGCAAAGAACAAGATGTAGGATGGAAAAAAAAGTCTTTGGATAGTCACAACAGCAACAGTTTTTCTCTTTAAGAGAATGAGGCCGCAGCTTATGGGAAAACTACGCTTGTTAGGACTTTCAAAATTTGAAGTCTGAGTTTTCAGTGGACTTGGTTCCTCCCCTCCGATTGCTTCATTCCCTCCTGGGAGCAGAACGAAAAGTTCTGGCTTTCAGCCTCCTGTCGTAACCACTGTCGTTAATAATTACTACAAGCAGCAGAGKGAGTGACCGACGTGCCCTGCAAGACAAGGCAGACATGGCAGGGGAAGCAGAGAGCTGCGGCGCAGCGCGATGCCAGGCTGGAGAGAGCCCCCGTGACAAATCCAGGATTCACGTCCCCGAGTAGCCTTGTGCCTTAGGACACACATGTCTCTGGAGCTGGGGAAGGCTGGCACTTTGCCTCCTTGTTATCGAGCTGATTTGTGTGAAATGGCAAAGGTACCTCTGATAATGAGAATGCACATCTTGCTCTTAGTGGTGATTATTGGTTAGTGAGSTGCTGAGCGAAATGGCCATTGACCTCTTCTGGTGGGGAGATGACCATGATCCTAGGCTCTGTCTGTAGCTTCTCTTTCTTTAWAGTGTAATATCTGGGACTATCATTGTTCTCCTTTCTAGGGAATATGTAAAGGATTTTTTTTTAAGGGAGCAAGGAGAGTCTCAAATGTAACTTTTTTCTTCTTTGCTGTGTTTCCAGGTCTCTCTCTCCCACTTGTGCTCATTTCCATCACTTCTCATGCATGCACAGTCACCACCTTTTAATATTTTTTCTTGCTTTTATTTATTTTTTTTTCTGCTCCTCGGCTTCTCCTAGCAGCAGAGAGAAGTGGTCTAGAATCTTTCAAATCCATTTAATTTGTGTGTTTGTTTTTAGCTGTAATGCTTCCCCCTGCAGCAGCCACTCCTCATTCTAGTCAAAGTGCTGTTGCCAGCAGCATGGGAAAGCGCAACTGTGAAGGAATACAAGCTTAGTCCAGTTGAGGAAATTAATCTTTTGGATCCAGAGAAGGCATCAAGGCATGAGAGAATGTGTCATCTGTGAGTTGTTTGGTTTATATAATAGTGAAAAATCTGGGCTTGATTTCAGAGCCTGTACTATTCCCTTGTCATCTTCTCTGACCTAGCAAAGTTTGGGTGTTTAGTAAGTGAAGGACACACAGGGCATGTTCTGCCTTGACTCTTTTAGAGGATCTAAATGTGGTTTGAGAAATTCCCCCCTGCCTTCTCTTCCCTGGCAGAAATCAAGCTGTATCTAGGTCCTGTCTGCCCCCCACCCTCCAAATTAAAAAAAAGAAAACAAGTTGATGAAATCTTCAATATTGAATTTCAGAAACTTGTGTTCTCTTCACATACAGCTTGTGAATATCAGAAATGTCCCATATGTTTATAACCTCATGTGAGGCCTGCTCCAAAGCTCATTTGGGTCAAAAGAGGTTTTCATCACTGTGAACAGTCATTAAATTGCCCCCACCTCCAACATCTGTATGACTGATATGTATTTTAGGGTGTGAGAGCAATCTACAGCTTAATGTTTTAATATGTTTAAAATAGTGGATATTGTACCCGGGAGCTGAAAAGCTTTCAGCAAAGTTCATTTAACAAAAGATGACAAAATATGAAAGAGGGAAAAGAAGGGAAAACGTCTGCCTGGATGTTACTTAAATTAACACAAAATAACTCATCTAAGGGCACCAGTCACTTTTTTTAACCCATTATAAAAGCTGCCTTTGCAAACAAGCTTA